GACAATTCCCGAAGGTTCGAGAGAACGAGTCACGTGACCTCGCTGACGCAACAGTACGCAATATTCATGTGTCTGTTATTTATACGAGAGAAAGAAAGTTATAATCTTTTTATAAGTTTTGAGCTTTCTAAATTACTAAAATTTACAACAACTTCTGTTGTAATAAATTGAAAGTTAAAAAATGTACCATTTTAATCTATTTATTTATCTGTTTCATTCTTTTTAGTATTATTACTAATATTAGTTCCTCCACTCCCACCCCTCCTAGTCCCAGCGACTCAGTGGTAAGTCTAGGGCTTATAATGCTAAAAATGACAGCGGACAAAGCACAGATGGTATAGTATGTAATTTTGTGCTTAACAACAAATAATCAAAGAAAATTATTAGTACTAATGAAAACCAATTCTTGTTATCACATTTCACAGGTAGGGAAAGTTATTAGAAATGGAGATGAGGCTTACATCAAAGAAGCAGGAAAGAGCTGCTCCCGCGAAGTGGACCCATTTACTATGGGGATGAAGATTACTAAACAAGGTGCATATGATAATCACGTTTTTCCGTGATTATCTCTATTTTACGTAACATTTAATTCCAAATTATGTACACCTTTCATTTAAATATATAATGTACATAGACTGAATAACTTGTAAATAAAACGTAATTATAAATACTATAATTTTTATTAAAGTATTTTTCTCTTAGGTTCCATGTAGAGTTTAATCATTTTCATAACTCAGAATCTTTTTTCTTCATGGTACTTTAGTCTTATCATATCAGTAACCATTCATATAAAACTGCTGTGAGGAAATGAATAATGTCATACTAACATTGACAATTTCTAGTCTCTTGCCCTCAAGTCCCAGTGACCTTTGTACCAGTCACTCCATACTGGAGAACAGTGCTTACACCACCTTCACAGGATATAGCACCCTCCAGTGACGAATCATACTGGTATCAGCGTGATACTGATCAGCCAACTACTCCACCTACTAAGTTGGAAACAGGTAAAACATTTAAGTTTGACTTTAGACTGTTTTGGATTTTATCTTTCTTCATGATCAAATATATGTGTGGAAGGTTGATAGTATTGTTATGTATTGTTACATCTCCGTTTGTTAATTAACTTTCCGTAACTTTGTTCCGACGAAACTTTAGCGACACAAGTACTTACTTAATAAAACTGGTTTATTCTTTCCGAATACAACTTTCCGATACACTTATTTTGAACAATCGCGCTAAAACAAACGCTATAACAACGAACGTTAACTTCAACAATACGTCTCTCTCTGACTGCAGTTCAATTACTCACTATCTACACACATATTACCTTGCCGTCACGTTGTCACCCTCTTTTATATACCAGCCTACCCTATATCTAGTAAATGCTAGAGCATTCGCCAAAGTACAGGATAGTTCTAGAAAGCAGAGGGCGTGAGAATAGTCACGTGATCTTGATGACGCAACACTGCCCCTCCTTAATATTGTTCGTCCGGAACAACAACCACATACAATAAACCAATAACAATTAACAATAACTTAATTAACTGTACAGAATTACAAACA